ACCCTTCCCCTCGTACTTTATCGCCACTCTCTTCTGCACCCCCACATATAGCAAGAACTGCTCCTTTCCCTTTACCCCTCTCTTCACCACTTGCTCCTCTCTCTCTTTTCCTTTCTTTTTACCTCCACTCATACTCGATTCAGCCAACATTACATCTCTAACAGGTCCAACTAGAACAAACCTATTTTCTACGTTTTCAACCACAGAAGAACTTACCTAAGGGGTTTCTTGAATTTTCTCAGTGTCAAAAGACCCATGTCCTTCACCTTCACTGGCAGATATAAAGGATTCGGAGTCAAAACTGGAGTCAGACTCTTGAGCTGGGCTTTCTTTCATCTAGCTAGCTTTCAATCTCTCATTTAAAACTTTCCTCAGAGCTCCAGATGCTACAGTTTTTCTAGCCAACATTTTCTGCTTCGAAGCCTAGGTTTTGGGGATTCACTAGGAGGAGTAGATGAGGATGAATTTGAGGGTGATGGTGGTGGAGGAGTGCCAGGATGATCTTGTAGGTTAGACATGGTTGATTGTTTCTTGAGAGAATTTGGGAATTTCTGGAGAAGAGAAGCGATTAGAACTAGAGAAATATTTTTGACGGTTTTAGAATAGTGAAGAAGATTAGATATGTGGTGTGTATTTAAAGGCAATTTGACATTAATGCAGTAACGGCAGCTTTTCAGGGGTCAATTAGAAGTCTAATCAAGGTGTAATTCCAGGCTTTTATGATTATTTTGGCTTCCCTAGATATTAGACAAAAATCACGGTTTTAGAGTTTTAAAAGGACGAAACTGGTTCAATGCCTCAACGGATAGTATTTTCTAGGAATTTGGAAAGTATAGGACTTTTGCTCATGATTGAATTGTTAATCTTTCTAATTATGCAAAGTATTGAAAACATACCTGAACTTTCATATGAACTCATACTGATGAACCAGGTTCTTCATATAGAACTCTCTTGAACATGCCTCAAATGCCATAATAGAAAAAACTTTGTAAGAGATCAGTGAATCATATGTACACATGTCACAGGAGTATACTAATTAAAGTATGAAACTGAGTAAGAATTAATCTAGATATTTACACAAAGTTAGAACTCCTAACCAATTTTTTTTATAAATTTTTTTCATTGTGCATTCTGAACTGGACCTATTAGGTGATCTTAATCATCCCTAATTCCAACCTGTTCCTTTCAAAGTTTTCTCTACTCAGTGCTTTAGTGAAAATGTCAGCAATTTGCTTATCAGTAGCACAGAATTCTATGGAGATCAGTCCTTTCTCATAGTTATCTCTTAAGAAGTGGTGTCTAACATCTATGTGCTTAGTCCTCTTGTGATGAACGGGGTTCTTTGTCATACTTATAGCACTAGTGTTATCACAGAATATTGGAATACAACCAACTTTAATACCAAAATCTACCAGCTGCTGTTTGATCCATAGTAATTGAGCACAACAAGAGGCAACAGCAACATACTCAGCTTCAGCAGTAGATAAGGCCACTGAGTTCTGCTTTTTGGTAGCCCACGACACAAGACATGAACCAAGGAAGTGTGCCATACCTGAGGTGCTCTTCCTATCC